CACCTCATCTATTGCGGCACCTCTATTGGCCAACACCGCTCTTGCCGCTTCTATGATGGTTGTAGGCATTGGGTGCCAGATACCGGTACCTAGTCAGGCAGGCTCATCTACCCATCCCGGTGCTGCTTCACAGCTCCCCGCACCGGTCGCAGCATTACGGTTCAGAGCACTCCCTCCCTTTCCTATCTCCTCACTTCCCCCTCACGGAACCTTTCAATTTGTGACTCCTCCCCCCACTACGGTACCCTCTCCGCCTCCTCCACCTCCGACCCCGTGCACCCAGCGGGTGGCTACTCTGCAGAGCACCATTGCACAGGCTCAAGCGGAGATTCTTACTTTGCTTCCCCTCCCCTTTCTCAGGCTGCTCATCCTTCTTTCTCATCTACCACCGCTTCCACTTATAGCGTGCAGACTTGCTTCCCTCGACCTGCTTCCCCTCCTCTCCCTTCTTACCTCACCACTCCATCACCACTTCCTGCAGCTGTTGCCTCCACATCTACTGGCCCCCCTACCAGTAGCTACGACCCACAACATGCTCCCACTCCCACCCCTGTACCGGCCCCGACCTTCGCCGCCACAGTGCAGGCACCCCAACCACTCTTCCCTCTCCGTCAACACAGTAGACCCCCCCTTGTGCGTCTGTCGGATATACCCGACTATGATAGCACACTCTGCGTGTCATAGTGGCTACAAATAGCCACATGCACACTGCCGTTGACAACTACCCCCCAGGAGATGTGGTGTGATGTGCTCGCAACCAAACTACATGGCATCCCTTTCTCTGCGTGGGAGAGCTATTATGCCCATTGTCGACGCACGAGTGAGGTTACCACCTTCGCAGATTTCACGACCTTTCTCCAGGACCGCTTCGGTGCTCGGCATGACGCCACTGATGCCTGACCCGCATCACCCAGACGAGATGGTCAGGGTTCAATGTCACGAGTGACTTAGAGCGTCACATCCGGGTGTTTCAGGGCGCACGCCTCACGTGTGATGAGACGTTCCTCTTGGAGGTCGTTCTCATTGACCAATTTCTTTACAGTCTTTTGAATGAATACTGCCTGGAGTTGTGGAGGCAGTCATTCTCGTCTGCAGAGCACGCGTACGATGTCGCTCACCAATATCAGACGATGCGTAGTTGTTTCTCCACCGCCTCATCCTATGCGCAACCTACCACCACCACTTGGGCACGCGGCATCACCCGAGGCCGCTCCTCTTTCACCGGCCGCTTCCGCGGCCCAGATCAGACTGTAGCACCATTCTCTTGGCACTACAGTGTGCTCGAGTACGGTGATCACCCTACGACCAAACTCAACCCTACCCTTGGGGTTGCCCTTGAGGACATCGAGCTTATGAACGTCATCCGCTACTACTTGGATGACGAGACGGCCACCCCTGGTGATCGCTTGCGGATGGCCCTATCCGCTATGCGCCGTGCTCACAACCGGTCCACACAGCCCAGTGCCCGCACATTCATTGTTCCTCCGGTGGACCGTGACCTCCCGCAAGTTTTCGTCCCTCCTCGTGGAGCTCTGACACCTAATGAGTGTGCTGTCATCAAGGCCCGTCGAGGTTGTATCTATTGCCACCAGGATGGTTATACCTCCTCGCGATGCCCATATCATGTCGCCCTCGATCATTACTATGCTCACATTTCTCGTCAGCGTCGATGACAGTCCTCCCCCGGCCCTGGCCGACCAGTCCCATCTTGCTAGCCACAGTGGAGTGTACTGCTGAGGCTTTACACATAGTCAACTCCCCGACCACCGACTCGAGGTCTGCCCCTTTGGCTACCACACCAGAGGATCCTCAGGACACGATAGACGCAGTTCCCTCTGCCCCACCGTCCGTCGAGGTACCGTCTTTCCCATAGCCGACTGCCTCATCTAGTCCTTCCCCTCCGAGACTTCCGATGTGTCGCGCTGTCGGCGCGAATACCTTACAAGGGTATCTAGTATCTACCCTGATTTTTGCAAGTGACAAAAAATAAGCTTTGACCTGAAATTTGAGTACACCGCGCGAGTCGTTGTAGTATTTGCTCTAGGCCAATTAAAAGTTTAACTAAAAATAAGTGTGTGTGGCCGCGCAGTTTTAAGGCGAGCGTTATGTTTCTTATTGATATCATAAAGTATGCGCTTCCGCCGGCTTAGTTTCTGACTTTGATTAAACTAGGACTAAATGATCCTTCCCATTGATGTGACCGTGGTGCTCATGCACTCATGCGGAGAACGGTTTAGGCGGCGGTGTGGGTTTTCTGTGGTGAATGGAGGAAATGGTGAGGTAAAAATATGGAGTGCTTCTGCGCACGGTAAATATGGGAGCTTGGCAATCATGGGTTCGACCGATAGGTGAAGGTGTGGTCTTGGAGCATTTCAATAGGCCCACGCATCGAGAGACACGCGTTTATATAGATGTGCGCTAGTGCTAGATCCATCCTCGGGCCTAACACTATTGGTTATGGTATAGGTCTTTCTGGGATCGAGGCTAGCGGATGATGATGCGGAGCGTTTGCATTGAGGTGCGCTTGCATTGGTGCGAGGAGGGCCGCAAGGACGGTCTCAAGGTCCATTAGGGCTTGATCGAGAATCGTTGCTTGAATGGGCGCCTGAGAGATGGATGGCGCCGCAACAATCTCCTCGGATGAACTCTCGTCCATGTGCGGTGGATGGATAGGAGTAGACATGGCGGGAGGTGGAGAAGGAGGTGGGGAAAGAGATGGGTTGGTGTGTGGAGAAAGAGGCTCACCAGTGAGAGGGAGGGGACAGCAGGAGCGGAGTCGGTAGTCGTGAGTCAGCACGCTCCGTGACCAGCGGGTCGTGTGTGAGATGGTGGCGCGAAGCCGGTCGAGGGGAGAGGATCCGCTCAGGTCCAGGGTGCCCGACGGGGGGAGGCGAGAGAGGAGGGGGGTTAGGAGAACTCTTAAGCCTTAGAGAAAACCTAAGAAAATCCTAACTGGAGTTTGGGGGTTTAGGGTAGAGTAGCGCTGCACTTGAGCCGCCCTTGAGCTTTTCCCGCCCATTTGCTAAGCCCGAAAACCTAATCACAGTCGGGCCAACTCAAGGGCACCGTGGAACGGTGTTGGACAATAAATCCTTGAGTCCGAGTGGTGTGGAATGAGGCCCTCAACCCTAGAGTCCGCCCTCGAAATGAGCGGGAACGGTGCTGCAACAGCTGGCTCAACCAGGAGAAATGCGGTAGAAAAGGAGAACAAGTGGAAAGAAAAGCCTATTGGGGGGTTCAACACACATCTGCAGCGTCGTTTTCAAGTGCAGCTCAAGTGTGCCCAGAGAGGTGACTTGGGGGCTCGTTCCACTACCCTTGACGGCGGCGCCATTCCACTACGCCCTTGAGATTCACTAATCACGATTGATAACGGATCAACCTTCCCGCCATAATAAGTTCCTCCTCTAAAAGTGAAGGGCGGCTGTAGGGCGCCCAGGCAAACTGCGGCAATTTTCGAGTCGCCTCCCAGCGGTGACTCCAATTTCCTTGAAAAAGGCACCAGCGCCCTCCCTGAGGGGTTTTTTTTTTTTNGGGGTTTTTTTTTTTTTTTTTTTTTTTTTTACCCCTTCCACCTACTACAGTTGTCTGGGCCAATAACGGACCTGCGTCGTTCACCACGTGAAGTAGTAGTGAAGTAGCAGGAGCTGCACATATTCCTGCTTGTTTTTTCAAGGTGAACTATAGGGTGTAATGGAATGACAGCGAAATCTAATATTTTTCAATTACGTTCAGGTTCAAGGGTGCGTGTAGGGCTGTGCTTTAGATTTTTCTCAAGTCGAAGGTAGTGGAATGAGGCCCTTGAAAAATGGGTAGGTTTGCCTGGGTCACACTTGAGCCACCGTTGAGCTTTTCCCGCGAGCCGTGATTAGCGAAACTGAAGGGCACCATGGAATGGTTTTCGGCAAGAAACCCTTGAGTTGAGGAGGCCCTACTTGTTGAAGGCGAAAATGCAGCCAGCCCATGTGGCTGAATGGTACACCTGAACTGCTGATAGACAGACCTGAGTTCGAATGTGGATGGTGGGATGAACGATATATAAGTAACTCCGGGTCCGGCTTAGCAGGATCGGCCGTGGAAGTCTCTTTTTTTTAAACCTGTCAAATTTGGACAGGACAGGCCGTTTTTTTTTTTTTGTCATTATAGTATTATGGGGAACCCAGTGGCAGCCACATCCGTGCTCAAGCCTCCAACGAGGGAACATGGGGGAGCTGCACCAGCAGGTGCAATACCTGCTACAGCAGGTGCGGCCAGGGGTCAGCCGGTGGCATCAGGACCGAGCTTCTTCCATGGGCCAGTCACTGTGCCTCCCCTCTGGTCCCTTCCCCCTATGAAGATCAGCAGTCTCTGCTCGATGCCACTCGGGGGTACCAACGGCATATCTGTAGGTGGCGGGCCCCTCGGTCGAGAGACCTCCACGCCCAGGAAGCTACAGGAGGTCTTGGGTTCAATCCCCATTTGCCTCATGTAGCTTCCCGGACGTGGAGGTCTCTCGACCGAGCATAAATTTCTTTGGGCAATTCCACGGAATTTGTTAGCGCACACTGAAGACGAGGAATAGCCAAAGCCGAGAATTGGGACTTACCGGTAGCACTATCCCCAAATGTATACCTGCGCGCCAACCGCTGCGAGTTCCTCGATATTGGATGAGAGAGGAAGGTCTGTCCTCGGACGGAGGGAGATGGGGCTCCCAGGATGGTTACAAGAGCGACAACCGCAACGTAAATGTTGCAAGGTCGCATTTGTGGAGAGATAGCGAGCGGGAGGGAGGGAAAAAAAAAAAAAGAACCTTGAGGAAAATGCTGCGAGGTTGCCGCACTCTCGGATAGAGCATCACAATCCGAAAGGCCATGATAAAAAAAAAGAGACCGCTTACATATGTGGAGAGGTAGATAGAGACCGGGGGCGAGGTCCCACTTGCACGGATTAAGAGATTCTGGCCGTTGATCTTTGGTATCTACCGTCGGTATCGCTTAATTCGTGTATAAGTGCGACCTAGCCCCGGGAGAGACTTGAGGAGAAAGGAAAGAGGAAGACGACGAGCAAGGCGACGACTAAGTAGGAGGAGGAGAAGCCGGAGTGGAGGGGAGGAGGACAGGAGGAAGGGAGAAAAAGAAGAGGAAGGCGGCGGCGGCGGACGAGGAGGCTTATCTCTGAGTGAGTTCAGGAGGACAGACGATGGCTGACAGCGGTCATCAGGCACCCGTGCCGGATCCGAGAACATGGTCCGCGACTTGGAGGCTGGATGGGAAGACGGCGCTAGTGACTGGGGGGTCGAGGGGGCTCGGGAAAGCCATAGTAGAAGAACTGGCAGCGCTTGGCGCGCAGGTATACATTTGCGGCAGAGATGCTGACGTGTTGCAGCAGTGCTTGTCAGAGTGGCAATCAGCGGGGTTGAAGGTGACAGGCTCGGTGTGCGACGTGTCGGTGAGGCAGCAAAGGGTGTCGCTCATCGAAACGGTGTCCGCGGAATTTGGCGGGAAACTGGACATTCTGGTGAATAACGCGGGAACGAACATTAGGCGCGCCACGCAAGACTACACCGAACAAGAGTTGTCGTTTGTGTATTCCACCAACTTCGAGTCCGCTTTTCACATGTGCCAGCTCGCTTACCCGCTCCTGAAATTGGCGGGAAAATCGGCAATAGTCCACGTGTCTTCGGTGGCGGGTCTATCCGGCATGAGATCGGGAAGCGTGTACGGTTTCACCAAGGCGGCCATGAACCAGTTGACCAGAAACCTGGGGTGTGAATGGGCCAAGGACGGGATCCGGACCAACGCCGTGGCGCCTTGGTACATAACCACGGACTTAGCGAACCAGGTGCTCAAGGATCCCCACTTCAAAGCGGAAGTAATTGGTCGTACACCCATGAGGAGAGTGGGAGAGCCCAGGGAGGTGGCCACGACAGTCGCATTTCTCTGCATGCCCGCATCGTCGTACATCACCGGCCAAGTCATCGCCATCGACGGCGGATACCTGGCCAATGGATTTTATCCGATGACGTAAATTTTTATTTTGAAAAAAATAGAGATGATGAAAAAAAAAGAGGTGTCGGGGTCCAGTCACACACGTGCCTCTCTCTCTCTCTCTCTCTCTCTCTCTCTCTCTCTCTCTCTCTCTCTCTCTCTCTCTCTCTCTCTCTCGTGTGTGTGTGTGTGGGAGAAGGTAGAGGAGGAGGGGGCTTGTTCAGAAAACCGTTGCTCTCTCTCTCTCTCTCTCGTGTGTGTGTGTGGGAGAAGGTAGAGGAGGAGGGGGCTTGTTCAGAAAACCGCTGTAAATGCAGCACAGCGCAGTAGAAAAGGCGAGAGGTAAGGAGTTTTGGAATTGCATCCGGATCCACGCTCGGTCTCTGCCACACACCAAATCCAAGGTCCACGCCTGCCGCACAACTGGATCCACGGTCGATCTCTGCCGCACACCTTATCCAAGCTCGATTCTCTGACGCAAGATCGGCCTCCTTTAGTACGTCCCTTCTCCTTCCTCCATGAGGATGGCCTACAGGGATTAATAGCAACACCATGAAGAACCGGTCATCTTCCTGGCCATCTACTTTGCTCTGCGGTCCTATAATCCAAGCTCCATCTCTACCACACTACTCATTCCAAGCTCCATCTCTCGTCCATGCTCGATCTTTGCCGCACAGCTCATTCAAGCTCGATCTCTGTCGCACAACCGTCTTTACCGGAACAGAACGCCCGGTAATTCTTTTTTTTTTTTTTTTTTTTTTTAATGGGCGCCTTCCAGTCTAGATGCAATGACAATGACGGAGCGTTCTATTGGGTGAAGACAGGAATCCCTGTTCAATCTTTACCACACTCCTCATTGAAGCCCGATCTCTGTCGCACAACACCAAAGCGAGCTCGATCTGTGTCGCGCACCTCTGCCGTACACCTCATCCAAGCTCGATCTCTGTCGCACACCTCATCCAAGCTCGATCTCTGTCGCACACCTCATCCAAGCTGGATCTCTGTTGCCCATCACAAACTACAAAGCTCATCTCTAATCCTGCGGCACCTGGGAAGGAGCACTCTCTTCTGAGATTGGCCAACTTGGAGTTGCGCACAGGGCAAAACAGCATCCGTGTCATTGAGCTTACTGTTGCGAGGCGGTCCCACAGACGCGGCCTTAGGTTCATTTGCTGTTCTTTTCTACTTCCTAATTTCCGAAGAGTAAATAAAGACACAACTGAAAAGAAGTAGTTGACTGAAATATCGCTTAGTTTCCCCAGAAAGTTTGTCCCTGTGATTCTCTCTCTCTCTCTCTCTCTGTGTGTGTGTGTGTGTGTGTGTGTGTGTGTGTGTGTGTGTGAGACTTAGGGCCTAGTTGCAGTACTCGCCATCCCCCCCCCCCCCCCTCTCTCTCTCCCTCTCTCTCTCTCTCTCTCTCTGTGTTTGTGCAAGACTCAGGGCCTAGTTGCAATACTCGCCATCCGCCACAATCTGTGGCGGAAGCCTGGAGAGTGAAAATAAGGAAGAATCGTGGTGAGTAGGCGTCACCGATGCACTTACCACGATGAGGAAAGTTAAAAAGGGTTGTCGTTATATAATGAATAATAGTGCCGTGTAGGCGTCACGGTTGCACTTACTCACCACGATCTAGGTTCAGCAGAAAAGTTAAAAATGGTTGTCGTGCGATCTACACCCGTGAAGCTGAATACTTTCCAGAAAGCCATTTTTTGTGGAGGGGCCACTAGTACCCTCCACAAAATGGCTTTCTGGAGAGTCACGGTGGTGGTAGATGGAAAGAAAAAGTATCCACCCTCCACAAAATGGCTTTCTGGAGGGTATTCAGCTTCACGGCTGCAGCGGATGGAAAGAAAAAGTATCCACCCTCCACAAAATGGCTTTCTGGAGAGTATTCAGCTTCACGGCTGTGGCGGATAGTAAGAAAAACCCGCCACACAGTTTGACAGTTTTTCACTTTGTCAAGTTTGGCGAGTAAGTGCAACTGTCGCCACACTTGGCGGATGGGTAGTGCAACTAGGCCCCTTAATGTGACTGTGCCTTGCTGTCTGTATCTTGGTACTCTCTTTTTTTTTTCTTTTTTTTTAATTTATAAATGATTGTTATGAAAGCATTTCAAAGTGGTGTAGGCATGCCACGTGTCCTTCCCACTGAAGGAGAGTGGTCATCTGAATGGTCATCCCAAACGATACACAAGCACACCAAGTAACTGATGAGCAGCATTGATTGCCCTCAACTGAGGGGATTAACTGCCCATCGTAATCCAAAGTCATATCCCTCCATACACAGATGAAAAGAACTATCCACCCTCCACAAAATGGCTTTCTGGAGAGTATTCAGCTTCATGAGTGTGGAGCATGGAAAGAAAAAGTAGCCACACAGTCTGACAGTTTTCACTCTCTCAAGTTTGGCCAGTAAGTGCAACCGTTGCCAAACTTGGTACTCGCCAAACTTGGTGGATGGCGAGGGGTGCAACTAGGCCCTTAGTGTGCCTTGCTGTCTGTCTCTGGCTGTCCACTCTCCTTTACCCGACTTGTGATGGACTATATCTTGGTAATTTGCTGTTTGCTTTCTTGCCGTAGGGCCTGGTTGCACTACTCTGCATTCGCCAAGTTTGGGGAGTAGGCGGCGAGCAGTGCAACTAGAGGCCCTTAGTGCGCCTTGCTGTCTGTCTGTGGCTGTCCACTTTCCTTCACCCGACTTCTGATGGATTATATCTTGGTATTTTGCTGTTTGCTTTCTTGCCATAGGGCCTGGGTGCACTACTCTCCATACGCCATAGGGCTTTCTTGCCATAGGGCCTGGGTGCACTACTCATTCATCGTTACCCAGGGCCGAAAAGTGGGGGTCCCCGTTAACCACTTGTGGCGCCTGGTTGCACTTACTCGCCAAACTTGGTGCAATGAAACCTGTCAGAACTTTTGCGAAGTTTCCTTTTTCAATCCGCCACAGAGTCCGGCAAGTTCCCAAACTCCCTATCCTCGTGACCTCTGCACAATTTTTTATTTTTTATTTTTTTGAAAGTAAACATAGACAAGAAGCCTATTATTGGAGGTGATAGGATCACTCTCCAGAGTCTTCAATAATAGGCTCCCTGATCTATTGGTGGGGAGCTGCACCGGCTGGAAACCGGGTCCAGCATCCCAATTACAGAAAACAGAGAAAATTAAGAATTGTGGCTGACGAGCAGCATTGATTGCCCTCGAACGAGGGAATTAACTGCTCGTCAGGCTGCAGGCGGGCGGTTAACCCTTCCATAATAACCTCACACCAAATTGTCTAACCTCCTACATAACCTACAGAGAGGGAGTCTCCAGACCCCTCCAATCCAAAAAACTCTCAACTCACCCACCTATCCCATGCACACGACAAATCACAATTGTTTTATGCGCATCGTCATGGCGCCCACGGGTCAACCCTAATCGTCCCCCCCTGCAGCGTGCAGGCACCTATTATCATTGAACTTCTATCCTACTATCATGAATGACATCTGCTGGTTGGGGAACACGAATTTCGATCTCGATCTCAATCTCAACCAACCCCCCTGCAACGAGCAGATGCCTATTACCATTATCCAAACTGTCATTATTTGTAATATTCGATGCATAATCCGTTGCCAAAAGGATGGGGAAATTTGTATATTAACCTAGTCTACAGAGTCACAGACTCCACAGACTCACAGGGAGGGCAAGGAACCATGGGAGGCAAGTTTAAACCACCAGTACCTGGCCCAGCTATCGAGTCCGAGCCTCAGCTGACCGGTACACCGACCCGTGCCGAGGCTCGGACTACCGGGCGCAGGCATCCCGAAAGAACGAAAAAAACGGGAAAAAAAATGAAAAAAAAACGAAAAACAACAACAACAAAAAAGTATGGCAGTGTATATTCCCACGCTATAGCGCCAGATTCATTCGATTTTGCTCATACTATGGAGGGTGCAGTACCATGAGGCCAGCCGCGGAGAGAGAGAGAGAGAGAGAGAGAGAGAGAGAGAGAGAGAGAGAGAGAGAGAGAGAGAGAGAGAG